TTTAACTTACTCACCTCGAATTAGTGGAATTGTGTTTTTGGCATGGTTGCCCAAAAAATCCCACCTGCACTTGTAAATTGAAAACACTGTGTTTGAAATTAATAGTCAGCTGCTTCAAATGAGCCCCTGCTTTAATGCACTGACTGCTTTGCTCTCGAGCAATGGGCATGCCAATAGTTCAACTGGCTACTAAAAGTATTGTATCATTATTTAAACTCAGCAATGTTACTCATTTCCCTGAATATTGCATATGTAATTTTATTAAGAGACCTATCTGTAATGCAATGCTTTGTCTCGAACTCCTTTCACACATGCAGACTACTGATGAAATGTTCAGGAACATTTCCTGCATGGGGACTTGTGGGAATGGGAGCAGGGATCAGTATTCAGGGAAATCTGTACCGCTAATTTCCCACCTCAAGAGTTAAAGCATGTAAGGCAAAATGGAGGTAAGAATATGTTGTGAATAGGGTAGCAGCGATAAAGCGGTTTCAAGGTATACATGACATAAAAGTTAATGGTTATCATGCCGTGTACATTTGCTTATCTATGATACTGAAAAAAAAAATGCAACTGGACGTTGAATCTCCCCTTTATTTTAGTTATTTTTAAAGACTTTTTACACATTTCCATTAGTCTCGCTCACCAGACAAGTTTAAATTATAGTAATAAAACATTTGTTCAATCAGCAATAAGCCTTCCATTTTCATTCCTTTAGGGTCATTCTGACTAATAATAATATAAATTCTATAATACCGTGAAACCAAGATATTTTCGTCCACTTTCATGCCGAGCAAGACACTACTGATGGCATATTTGAATCCATGACATGTTTAGAGTTTATAGAGTTTTTATCCATCGTCCTCTTCTGTCAAATTTTCTGGTGGTTGGCATCTATGACTGTTGTATTACCTCCATCTGGTGGACTGTCCCTTGCCCCATCTGCCCCAGCATTGCAATGGCATGTGTGAAAAGGTGCAAGCCGAAAATGTTCCTGAATGTAGTGCATGTGTGACCAAAAATCTCTAGTGGTGCCTTAAAGGTTATCCCACTAATATACCAGGAACTATGTGTGAAAGAGGCTTCTGCTTGATTATGTTCTGGCTGTAAAGCAATTTTCTGAAACCAAGAAAACCGGAGCAGTTAAGCTGAAAGTGGGGCATCCATGTTTAGCATGTTTACACACATTTCTGGGGGTTCAAAGCCTTGCTACATATATGTCAGGAAGGCAGGGAGGAGTTGGTGGGTGTTGCTCAAAATACAAAGGTTATGTATTCTACAGATGATATAGAGGATGAGAGGTGTCTAATATTAGACACAAGTCTTTTTAACAGCTTTAGAAGCACTTGATTTGTTGGTGGTTTGAACCAGTAATCATTCTTGAAAGCAGTAACGGCTCACTGAGTGTTTTATCCGCGCTGTAAACGCTGGTCTTTTTATTTCTTCACTTGGTAGCAAATCAGAGCAGAGGCAATTACAGACATCAGAAGCATTTCTGTATTTAAGGAGTGTAATAATATTGCACAGGACGTGGTGGTGTTGAAAAAGATAAACAATCATCTTCACTCTTGCTGCAGGCCTACTTTCACATTCTCATCACACATTGAAGAGAACCACAGAGGGGTCCCTCACTTTGTATAAACCGCAACCAATGAAGCCACTCTTAGAGCTGGGAATACTTAGAGAATAATTCTCCAATTGCTCATGGTTTCTGAGAGGGAAGGGCACACTACTGGTGTGCGTGACCTATTTTTCCAAATTCATCCGTCAAATGCAGAGCTGCAGCTGGTGGTTCAGAGTTCCCTTTTCGTGGAAGACTGTTTTTTAAAGTCCTCCCTGTCACTCATGCACAGTGGTGTCACGTTTTCCTGGGGCCTTTCTCTCGGCTCGCATGCTTTGGCACCGTTTTTCTCTTTTAAAGAAAATAAATATAGAACAGACGAACACTGCAAACAGGGAGCATATTTAGCTGCATGTTTGGGAAAGCAAGACATTCCTGTCAGGACCGAAGCAGTTAAGTGGTATCTCTCCCTAAGCTTTGGTTCAGGGCTCCTACTAAAAACTGAGCTTTAAGCCCTCAGAGCTAGGAGGGAGAGGGAGGCCCCTGGATGAAGGGGAGGGCTGGGACAATGGTTAACCACAGAGTGAAGCATGCCGCTCGAGACTGAAGCCAGGCGGCACGACATCACAGGGAGAGAAAAAGGCTCGCCCCCACAACATCACTGTTTCAGTTCAAATGGCAAGCTTCCCCGGCGGAGAGAGAGCTTGCATATATCCATGAGGAGGGCTTGGCTGACCAAATTACACCCTCAACAGCATGGAAACACAGTCTGTGTCACTGCAGTGGTTTCACCATTCAGTCAGCAGTTCATCTGCCTGACTGAGTGTCACTACCAGGGCTCGGATATGTATAAAATCCATCCTTAGTCCTTATTTTGTAGGGCTGTAACTTGCAATGACCCATGTTGTAACACAAGGATGTTACGACATGCAGGGACTTACATTTAGGAAGTTCATTCTTTCGTTGCTATGAGTGCAGCACGCAGACCTTTTGAAGACAGAAATAAACACACAAAAAAATCCTTTTCAGTGGAGGAAGGCTTGAATAAGCTGGCCATTTAAATTCTGTGCAGTACAGGCTGTGATAGATTGTGTATTCCTGTTGCAGATTATTGCTTTAAATGTAACACTTTCTAAAGAAAACTAAGATACACACACTTTCATTTTTGTCATCACGTTTTTTTAAGAATTCACAAGAAAAACACTGAAGGCTTACAAGACCCCGTGATGAAACCACCGCTGGTTTTGCTGTAATCTTAAATTCTTTTCATTTAATTCTGCTGCTAGATTTGACTCAGGAGCTGCGCTGAGGCAGATCATGTTTTTAATATGACATGATCAAAAGATATTTTGGTTTCTAATAAAGGATGCTTGTTAGTTCGGGAGGTTTCCTTCCTCTTGAGAAGTGACACCACTCATCCTGTTTCCTGTAGCGCCTTCCATCAGGTTGTGTTTCTGTTCTGCAAAATCGGCCTTTCTCTGTTCCTGAGCGGAGGCATCATTGCTGCTGATGACAGCACTACAAAGAGGAATCAGGTTTCTCTCGTGGGTTCCCACTGGTATGAAGGATCTGTAGTCTGCCTGGCAGCGTCAGGTTCCTCTTAAGCAGAAATGTTACTCCACTACTCGCTCCAAGTGGGAGAGTGCATTAGCTTCTGATTAAATCAGTTTGATCTCACAGTGCGTCTACAGTGTAGACACCTATGAGAGGTCATACACACACAGGTCCTCTTACAGCTTGGCATGGAGCCTCACTGGTCATGCTCACTCCCAGTTAGAGGCTTTATGTTGCTGCTGGTCCAAAGGAGTTTAATGAAATGGCTTAGAACAACAGCATTTGATTATTTTGTGATTAATTTGTGATATACTCTATTACAGTGGTTCCCAACCGGTCCAGATTTCTCATCAGTCATTAGTTCAAGGTCCACACAGTTCAATACATTACGCGTCAAACTTGCTTTTGGCCATGTCGTAGAGCTAGTTTGCTGTCTCTGTCAAGTAGCTGTCAATTAGTCATTCACTCTACAGCAGGAAATGGCGCTTCAAAATCAAAACTTTGTGCCACACTTGACATGTTTGTGAGCAACTTGCCCTCCAATCAGAATGTAGCCACAACCCACCAGTTGGGAATCACTGTTCTATTATACATGATTGATTCAGCAGTCCTGCTTGGCTTGACGAATGAATGAATGAATGAATAATTTTTATTTCGGTTACATACATCTGGAAAAACAAAGATTATTTCACACGGATTTTCTCACAGTCAGTAACCGAAAGAGGAATAGGCTGAAGCCCCGGGCTTATTTTTGCCTATCCTATATTAACCAAAGGATACCAAAGAAAAGAAATAAATGAATTAATAATTAAGTACATTATACTCTAAATTACAATCTGCAATTCTTTTACATTTTGATCATTTTACATTATAATCTATAATCATTTTGGGAGCTACATAGTTTCAAATCAGCACTGAGTCCATGAAACACACTTGTATTTTACATTGGTTCTCACTTTACATGTTTCATAAATAAACAACCCTCTTAAATTATAATTTCCTTCTCTTAGTCTAAAAAAATTGAATGCAGACAGGAAGGTTGCTATCAACAACTCAAAAAAAGTGTTTCCAATGTTTTTAAATACACAATGTTTGGAAATTTTAAGGTGTAGGATGCTATACATTGATTGATCAGGTGAAAGGTAAAGAAAAACAAATTCTGTAGGGACTCATAATAACAATCTGAGCTTGTCAGTGGCAAAAACAAGCACATTGACAGTGCGATATTATCCTGAGCAGTGGTGGAGTGGTAGTTGATGAGTTGGGAGTACTACTAGGTAGATGATGTTGAGGAGGAAGTGGGTATACCCTGATAGATGGGTAGACAGTAAATGGCCTGAAAAGAGGATGGTATACTGGTATACCTGCATATACCCTCCACCACACCACTGGCCTGGAGTGATTACATTGCAGCTGATTTCATGGCTGCCAGCTGCCCTTTCAATATTTGTCTCCATTAGTCATTTAGACACAAAAGCATGGAAAAATATGGTCAAGGTTGAAAAATATTGAAGGTTGCCTTTAATCTTTGCAAAGCATTTCTCTGAAGATTGGCATTTACTACAGAAGTCATTACACAGCATTTTATTATATGCAGAACTGCTCAGTGTTCACAAGTGTTTCTGAAGTATTTTCTTTATATTTCTGTTACTTGTAGTGGCTGATTCATCACAAAAATCCTTCAGTGTGAATGCTATCTTACAACTTGAAATGAGCATGTGGAGGTTAGATAAAAATGGGGCAAATAATAATGTAATACATTTGATAATGATGCTTGACATTCTAATGACAGGTTGTTTTTGACCAGGGCATGTTGTGCATTGTTGTGACAGCAGTGAAAACACTTGACTCATCTCATTTCCATTTTTGGTCTTTTGATGGACAGAGATCCGTAACCAGCTGGTGGAGCAGTTCAAATGCTTGGAGCAACAGTCTGAGTCTCGTATCCAGCTGCTGCAGGACCTGCAGGAGTTCTTCCGCCGCAAAGCAGAGATCGAGCTGGAGTACTCCCGCAGCTTAGAGAAACTGGCCGAGAGGTTCTCCTCCAAGATCCGCAGCTCCAGAGAACACCAACAGTTCAAGTGAGTTTCCCTCCCAGCCTTGGAGGCTTTCGCTGCTCAAACTGTTGCATCTACAGTGTTGGTGCACCTGAGAGGTTGTGTGCAAGGGCGTTGCTTTGGTTACATATCTTTATCTACACTTCCCAAGGTAATGGTAGACAAATGAAAAATAGAAGTGTTGACCTCAGGTGCGCTCTCTTCTATGTACATCTTCGCCAAAAGATCACTGTCCTTCACTGCTGTATCCAGTATTTAATTTTTGATTGGCATTCAATTATAGCATATTTTTAGGAGAAAGTGTGGTGTGTTTTTTCAGCCCTGAGTGGTGCCTGCAGGCTTTCTCTCAAAATGAAGTCCACAAATGACTCACTGCTGCTCATTAAGGTTATTGCTGTTAGGACACTGATAACTGAAGGCAACTCGGCAGCATGTCAACATTTTAATCTGGATTTTAACAGCTGGACAGAAAGACGACATTAGAGAGATTAAAGTGAGGAAATCTATCTGAGACAATTAAAGTGATGTTGACAAAAATGGGAGGGACATGTGTCCTCCACCCAGCCTTGTTTGTGTGTTGTTTGACAGCAGCATTATTTCTATACTTACTGTCCTTACTTTTCCTTTACTTACTTTGGGTAGTGGTTAGCATTGTCGCCTCACAGCAAGAAGGTTCGTGGTGGGGTTTGAACCCTGGGGTGGGGTAGCCTTACCCTTCTGTGTGGAGCTTGGTTTGGTGTGGGTTTTCTCCGGGTTCCACAATCCACATGCAGGTTAGATTAATTGGTGACTCTAAATTGGCCGTAGGTGTGAATGTGAGTGTGAATGGTTGTCTGTCTCTTTGTGTCAGCCCTGTGATAGTCTGGTGACCTGTCTAGGGTGTACTCCGCCCTTTGCCCAACGTTAGCTGGGATAGGCTCCAGCCCCCCATGACCCCTAACAGGATAAGCAGCTACGGAAAATAAATGAATTTCCTTAATGTCATGTAATGCTGGTTACTTTAACTGCACTGATTTTTGTTCAGTTTAAAAGTATTTTTGTGAAGCTGCTGTCCCCGTTTCCTTTCAAAGTGAATCCAGACCACAGGGATCTGTAACTGACTTCATCCCCCTTTAAACGCTTCACTATTTATAACCTTCCTGTAGACCCAGCCCTGCTGCTAATCACGGTGCTTTGCCTGATTACAGTGCACAAGTATACAAGAAAATACTCCAATATGATTATGTGCTGTAAGGAAATATCTGTTTATACAGTCAAGTTCTTTATGACGTCCTCAAAGGTCAGCTGGCTCTGGCGCGATGATGAAGACGCAGTTCATTAAAGACGTTAAAGACTGTTGAGGGCTGGACATAACAAATCCAATGCACTCATGGTGCTGTAATGTAGCACTTAACTTTATAGAAAGCCGTGAGTGAAGCTTTATGCTTCATTATGTTTTAAATTGCATCCATTATGTATAAATATTGCAGGCTCTCGACGAGCTCTGCATCAGACAGAAACTTGTGAAGGAGCTTATTAAATTAAAAACCATGTAATTTATTCAAGATGGTAACTTACTAGTGAAAAAATTTAGGCACCATGCAGTGCTATTGGTACGTGTTTGCTTTGTTGGCGAAACAGAGCCTTGTAGTTGGAGAGCTAACAGCAAAAGACACATCTCTGTATTACTGAAATGGTATTGACTAATTAGTGTATATACAGATATACAGCTTAAATTATCTGCAGTGCAGTGTTGCAAGTGTGTGCAGTGCAAGTGTTTTGAAAGAAAGGTAAAGCTAATGGTGAAGCACAAAGGCAAAAAGAACTGCTAGATCTTTTGAGTAAAGGTAACAGTGAATAAAGAAGTCCATTGAATGTCATCAGATAAAAATCAGCTCACCCATAGCTTTGACCCATTTAGATTTGCAGCTCTGGAGACACTGAAATGTGTGCTGGTGAAAAAAAACAAAAAAAAGAGGGATCGCCTGCACAGAAACCACCACTTACACATTGGTACATGACTCACGCAGGGCATGAAATTAAGCGCTGCCGCTCCCAAAATCAAGCACCTCAGGCGAGCAGACGAGCTTAGCTCAGTCTGGAAATGGGACACTTACCCAGCTGTGATCTGGCAGCACATATCAGACATAAATCTACAATCTACATCAACATATATGTCGTCTAAACCCAGCTCTGGTTCTTGCAAAAGGAAACAGCAGGACTGCATTCCTAACATTTTTATAATGTGAATCTTGAAATGTGTTACAAGGACTCTCAAACGCTCGCTGTGCTCAAATGAAAACAAAACGCAGATGTCCGTAAGTCTCCTACAATGCATGTAATGCAAATACTGCAGTCATGCAATACATTTAATGTGGCAGTAATGCAAACTGCTGCATGTGCTCATTTACTGTAGCACTGCAACATGATGCACAAAATGTCATGTGTATGCAGTAGGGCTGCCCCTGACTAAGAATTTTCTTAGTTGAACTATAGTCGTTATTTAGGGCTATTAGTCCACTGAATGTTTATGGTATTAATTTAATTATTTAATTACATTTTGGGCGGGGCAACACAATGGTTTGAGAATAGCATAGTAAAAGTAACACTGTTAATGCTGTGCTACGTAACAGAGAAATACAAAATCGTACTAATGAACCTTCATTAATATAGGCCTATATTTTATCTACAAGTGCACGTCACACACTGAGCGAGCCGCCTGTTAATGACGCTGTCGGCAAAGCAGTAATGATTGTGCTAAGTGGCTAATGGGCATGTAGCTACTTACATGTTTCAGATGATACGTCATGTTTGTAGTCGACAAATGAAGATGAGTTTACATATCACCTTGGGTTCATCCTTCACCTTCTCAAAATGATCCCACACTTTGGATTTCCTGCCCGACATGTTATGTCTGTGGAATAACTGCAGGTACCAGCCCTGTAAATTAGGGGCCGTACACATGCCGCGTCTTTAACTGCCTGGAAACGCGAGGTCGGGTGCTGGGTGCTACTCTTGTGCCCTTTTTGTGCCAGCTTTCAAGAGCGCAGCGGTAGGTTGAATCTGAGGTTGCTAAGCAACCTTAACAAGCATTGTGTAGCCTATTTACCTGAAAGTGTGTCAGCTATTGACGATGGGACAGATATAAAAGGTCTGGGTAGCCCTGCACGAACATCATCAACTTTCCCATATTTATCACAGACTGAATATATATGGAAGAAAGGAAAGATATCTTTCAGCTGTGACTGGTTTGTAAGGTGACTCCTATTTGACTTCCTGTGTCTGTCCTTTCAAATTAAATTCCCACATGGTCCAGTCATTTAGGTTTTGATTTATTTTGACAAGGCGCAGCTCCTATTAGAGTTTCACGTTTGCTTGTTTATTTTATTTTATATTTTTCTATGATTAAGCGACCAATGAAATCTTGCCAACTAATGACCTGTCTGGTCGACTAACTAAGTTGACTGTTAGGGGGCAGGCCTAGTATGCAGACAGCGCCTTTTTGCTCTTACTTTGACAGTTTGGGCAAGGTAAGAAGGGCTTCCCGTGGGTGGTTATCGATCTTGTGATCCACACAAACAGCTGTACTTACTCTGCCTGCCTTTTATACATTTTGCCATCCATCTTGAATGATTTCCATATGAAGTGAAGTAGGTCAAGTAATGATGATTTACACATGCCAACTGAGTGGGTTACAGTTATTTTTACAAACCTGGTATAAAGTTTGGCTCTGGGGGCACTGGTCAGTATTTCAGGAGCATCCTTCTTTCCTGCGCTGCTCATTCTTTACAGTTTGATCAGCAACTGGAGACAGGTCTAGACAACATTTTGGCTCATCTCTATAAATAGATAATCTGCATATGAATGAGTATAAATTAGAAAAAAGCTAATAAAAAGCTAAAATTGTAGTCTGACGATAGCCGAAGTGTTCACAGATTGCATTTCAGTCAATGCATTTTTGCTCCTCGCACAGACTGTTTACCAGCAGGCAATCAAAGCCCGCTCAAATGTGACTGGTCAATGCTACTCAGACTATAAACCAAAACCAGAGCGCTTCTGATACCAAAATCTTGAGACATGTGCCTCACACTGCTCATTAGGAAACAAGCACTGTCAGCTAACCAAAAGCACTTTTACTGGACTTATTGACACTTGTGACACAGAATAAGACGTAGAAATGTCTGCATGTACCCGTACTGTATGTAGGAGAGCAGTGTGTGTGTGTGTGTTAAGTGGATGAGGATTTGACTGGGTAATTGAGTCCAGATGTGTTAGAGGAGGCGTGCTTCATTGTGGCGTCTAAGACTTGGCTGACAGTAGACAGAACTCTGCTGCTGCTGCTGCTGCTGCTGCTGCAACATAGCGGCCTGAACTTTGGCCTGTACAGTTGATCTTATCCACACAGCAAAGGACAGGTGTTAGAAAAAACACCTTATCCTCAGACACATGTTCTAATGATACTGTATTACACTTTGCACTGACAAGATCAAGACTTAAAAGCCAGACGGCAGCAAGTGTCTCAGTGCAGTGTCTTGACCAAGACCACACACACACACCCACCCGCCCACACACATACACACACAAACTGTGTAGTGATAGCTAAATGAGCAATGTCGTTGTATGGCACTTTTAATGCATTGTCTTTTTATGTCACCTGTTGTATTTTGTGCTTGCCTCCTTTTGAACTCCATTAATTCAATAAAATGTGTAAAAATGTGAAGCAGTTCGACAATATGAAAAGAGCCAAATGACAGAAGTCACAGACCACAGAGGAAGCGTGGGTGGGAGGCTACTATCATGCTTGACATGTACAGAGGATGTCATATCCAGCCATACTGAAAGTCTTTGTTAGGTGTCATTTGTACCACACACACACACTTCCTCGTGTGTCTGCATCAAAATGATTTTACTTTACAGGGTACATTAAATTCAAAATGGCCAGTATTTCATCCAAAGTGAGTTTTTTCAGCTCATAACACGATTGCACCTTGTGCCGTGCTCTCCTGGTCTGAGCAGGCGGGCAACCACAAATCCTGCTAATCAGC